ACACAACTCGGAGTCATCGTTCTGATCAGAAGATTCAATGCAGAAAAATGACCATGGCCTACTGTGACGTGGAAGGATTGAGACAGGGCGAGACTTGGGCTCCCCCCCCCCAAAAAAAAAAGGGAATTTTTCCATTTGAAATCTGGAGAGATCCGCTGATAAAATTTTAATAAAAGGCACCATCTACAATTGACTAATTTTGCAATTAAAATAAGCATGGAATGCCCTGTATTCACTTCCACTGCTACAAATCTGGAATTACAAACTGTACATGAGTTCCTAGTAGTCATCAAAATTTACGTATGGATCATACAGTGAACCGATGCAACATTTTATCATTTCCATCCTTGACAGGGGCAGGCCTGAGCAATCCTTGATAGGTTTATCACTGTTTAGCAGCTTGTGAGGACTGGCACTGCTGGAGTTCTTTACAGCGTCAATGCATCACCCACTCAAGCAAGATTGATGCTTTAGGACCAACAGGGGTACAAGGCCTTGGTAAGACTAGAAGCCAATGGTCATTTCCTACTTATCTTCAGATATCCACCGAACTTGTATCAAATAAAATATTGAATTAAATGAAAAAAACAGAAATATCTTTACAGGTTGAATTAAAGAAGTATTTCAATATCTTCGCTGAATGAGGGTCATTAAAAATATTTTGATGCTTTCATAACTTATACCGGACAATGCAGTCTAGACTTCAAAAACCATTCTCATAAATAAATGGATGACATGCGGCAGATATCTGAAATATTTATTTACGGAATATTTTACAATAAGGCACTGAGAGGCCAACAATAATATCCAAGTTGAAACGACTACAAAGTTTTGTGTGTGTATGTTAATATGAATTCCTTAATTGCAAACTCTAGAGAAGTTCTGTGCCTCTATTGACAAAAATAAGCTGTTCCATGTTGTTAGTAACTTAAAACATAAAGCAGAAATGTGTGGTTATGGTGATTATATTAAGGGGAAATTCCGATTGAATTCGTCAACAGCTTCTAACCACAACGGGATATCTATGATGTCAATTCCAGCTTTTGTTAGACAGTGAGAGAGGCTCCATTGTCAGCTGCCGTAAGATTGAGTATCATTGTTGCTGCCTTCAAAGCCCTGGTTGATAATTAAGTGAAATATTTCAAATTTTTAGATGAGATATGATAAGATTAAAACTAGAGTGACACTGACGGTGTCTAAAGAGAAAAAATTGCATACCATGCCTCAGGTGTCTGGTATGGGGAAGCTGAAGCTCCAAAGCATGATTCAAGCATCTCAGTATTTATCACTCCTGGACTAAGTGCAATAACTGCCATGCCATCAGGCAATTCCTCTGCCACTGATCTGCTTAATCCCTCAATAGCCCACTTTGATGCACAGTAAGGTGCAACCTATTGAGATGGAGATGGAATCACAACTGTTATTGAAAAAGGAGTAATGCTAATATAATATCACAATCAAAGAAAGGCAGAAGGAATGAAACAAAGATATGACATGAATCTAGCACCACAGCATGGCACCTCTCGCTCAGACCTAGGCATGCTTTTTCTTTTAACTTCAAACATTATGACATAATTATGTAACATATGGGAAATGCAAATCCTTGATTGATTATTTCAGCTATATTTTCTGCATGATTCCATCCAAATTTATTCATCTAAATGAACTTTGTTTCAATAAAAGTGCCTTAGGCAGGAAAATTAAGTGACCAATTTCCATTATACTAAACAGAATAAACAACCATCTTAGTAAAATATAGAAAGACTGGCATATAGAAGATTATGAAATAATGACACTCCTCAACTTACCAGGGCAGCTCCAGATCTGCCCCATCCAGAAGACATGTTAACAATAATTCCTTGCTTATTTGGAAGCATCAGAGGGATGAAGTGACGCAGCACATTAGCTATCCCTTTTACATTTGTATCAATCACTGTATCAAATTCTTCTAAAGGAACGTCCCAAATCTTGTTGTTTTTATTGATAGTACCTGCATTATTTACTGGCAATGCCTCCATTTCAGCATTTTTAACGAGACAAGCAAATGGGGAAATCAAATATGTGACGAGTCTACAATTCCAATGAAATGATATAAAAATTATAGAAATAGGACTTGAACCCTGTAAAATTTCCAAACTTTTTAAGCCTCCAACCCACAGTGAGACTTCAACTCCAGAGGGGCTAAGTGATTTACAAGCAAACAAATTTCAACACAGAGAGAGTTAGGGATGCAACAACTAGCCCAATTGCAGTTTGAAGAATTGGCATACCTATAATATCTGGAACACCCTTCTTCTCCATTACAACACGGGCAAGCTCCTCAACACTGCTATTCGACCTCTAAAAACAAACCATACAGTATAAATATAACAAAAGGATTTATCACCACTTTCAAAATCTAGTACCACTCCCCAACTAACAATTATGCTAATTAAGGAACACTGAAAAGGTATTAGGGACAAACATAACCCTAGCCAGGCTGCAGTACAGGGAATTCACAAAATAAATAAATGTTTTTTAAGAAAAAAAAATCAAATGGAATATACAAGTGCGGAAACCTAAAGAGACGAAGAATTAGGGCCTGACCACGTCGACGGCGAGGAGGAGGTGGCGGTCGGGGGAGGTGAGCTCGGACTGGAGGGAATCGAGCTTAGTCTGGGTGCGGGAGCAACCAATCACAGTGTGGCCTCTTTTAGAAAGCTCCACGGCTAGGGCTCTGCCGAGACCTCTGCTCACTCCGGTTATCAAGACAGTCCTAGCTGCGGTGGAACCGCTCATCGACGACGCCATTGTCAATGCTATAGCTAGTTTTTCTCTGCACAGTGCAAACCACTTCCGCCCATAATAGCATATGGTTTTAAAATTGAGATTCTCATGCACAGTG